ATTCATTCTTTACGCTTCATTTAATCTTAGCCGTTCATCTATTTTCCTTTCCCTATCCCACTCCATATATCCCTTTATCCAAACACCACCTTGTAGTATGTTAGAGACGCCTGCAGAAGCTGCAAAGGTTTTGTCCAACAAAAGGACCAAGCAATTTTTGAGGTGCGTGTTGTGGTCGAGAAAAAATGTAGTGTGACTTTAATTAGTTTAGCACAAGGAATGAGAGTGGTCCCAAAAACAATTTAAAAATAAGGTAAAAGTAGTTCTTAAAACCTAGCCTACATTAGCCTGCCTTGTAGAACAATGCTGCCTCACTTGCTTATTGGTCTAGATGGCATCACTTTTAATTCAATCCACTAGAAAACATAGGACCACATTGGTCGTGCTCTTACTCTCTCCAACGAAGACTAACACTCTTAGTGGTTCTAGTACAAATAAAGTGATTCTCATAGACTAGAAAATATTGATACTATTATTCACACAATGCAAACTATCACTATTTGTGATTTGCAAAGAAACTTTTTTCCTTTCATCATGCCTCTCACCTTTATTTTCTCTCCCCTTCTTTTTAGCATGGACCACATTCTCCTCCCCAAGTATATGTAGCTTTTGCAATCTACTATGGCAAATATAGGACACCTACTTTTTTATCCGATCCTACGTGGCACTCGGGGCTATAAGTAAAAGCATGGCGTCGGGAAGGCCTAGACATCTTCCTGCCTCCGAAAAGAGGGTTGTCAATAAAAGGACACTGGTTACCGAGTACTGTACAAGTGTAACTGGCCGTGCGGCTTTTCCACATAATTAACCACGGGGCGGCGCCTCGAACCGTAGCTGAACGAAGACACGCACTACGACACGTGGCTGCACAGGATTCGTGAGCAGTATGTAAACAGTAACCGGAGCGTTCTCAGCGCGCGGAACCTAGACGCTATATGGAGTTACATATTAGGTGAAACGAAACTGCACTCCATTTGATATGTTAAGATCTTGGTTTGGGAAAACTTATACCGTACCTCAAAACCTCAATATTCAATAGTCACTCAGATTCGAGTTTAGAGGGTTTTAGCCTAAGTGTACCCCCCCCCCCCCCCCCCACCCCACACACACTAATTGAATTTGGCTCACTTTTTTTTTGAAAGATCCAGAACATAGCGGGCATATATTAATAAGGAGATGAGAAAATTACATTTGCAAGCAGTGCAAACAGCTTCCCAGGCTAGACAGACTGTCAAGCTGGGCGAAAAGAACTGAGCGAACTGCTCACATTCTCGGAGTACCCAGCCTTCCCCAATCCCAAACACACCAAATCTGCTAATCATCTTTAATTTCTCGTAGGATTCGTATGCTGCTGTTTAATTTCTTGAAAAATCGAATACCCAGCCTCCGAACTCATTAAAACACACACTGTTTACAGCCTAGTAATTTCACAAGGTATTTTGATAAGAATATAAACGGGTTGCTCACTTTTCGTACGTCGAGCATCTTCACAAGCTATAGCTCATCAATGTGACACACAGTACGAATGGGGAAATAGAGCCTAGCTTGTATACATTGACTGATGAATTTACCCAAACAAGCCGGAGGTGACTCCAAGAAGGAGACACCGGCCACGTCCTCAAATTAATTTCGGCCGTTCGATCTATCATCGTGTGGCTGTGATTGCTCGGAGCGGTTTCGGCCGGAAGCGGCTTCTTCTTCTCCTCCTTCGCTTCCGTCCGCTTTCCCTCTGCTTCTCTCGGTGTCGTGCAGCTTCTGCTCCGGAGCTAGGCCACCCAATATATACAGGGCTTCCGATTCTGATCCTTCCGCCAAAAAAAAAAGGAAAAAAACCCGCCTCCACCTTATCTCTTCCCCGTCCTCCTCCGCTCCTCCCGCAGGTCGCCACGATGCCGCCGCCGGTGGCGCCCCCGCACGCGCCTCCCTTCCTCCTCCTCTACTCTCTCCTTCCTCTCTCCATCCCCGCGCTCTCAGTCCGTGGCGATGGTCACCATCGGGGCCCACGCGCTATGCGGCGCCGCAGACCGGGGAGCCGTCGCCCCGGCAGCGCGCCGCGCCGCCATCCGGCGTCGCTGGGGCTGGCTAGCACGCCACCACATCGGAAGAGAGGGAGAGTGCAGGCCGCGCACGCCGGTGTCCGCCGGCACGGCTTCCCCAGCGTTGCCTCCTCCCACCGGTAAGAAACCCTAGCCGCCTCTTCGGCATCAGCGGCCAAGCTCGCCACAGCGAACAGCAGCAGCCACGCAGTATGAAAACCTAGCTGATGGGGGCTCCACTGGTCACCGATTCCCAAACCCCAATTTTTAGGACCCTGCCGTTATTGTTTCCTTTCCCTTTATCAAGATTTTCCGTATATATTCATGTCCACCAAAATTTTTGTCGTGCAGTATGGAAAGATAAGAGATGATTAGTGTTGTAGTTGGGATTTCCAAAAGCAAACCTATTTTTCAGTGAGCTTGATACTTCTCTAATGACAAATAAATGCGAGCACAGCAAGATATATGAGCATGGATGTAATTTTCCTATTTTTTCCTTATTGGTACATGCTTTGCTTTTCGACATCATGATTAGTGGCTCCATGTACATCATACGTCCTTAGCTTTTAGCATCCACAAAAGATACCTGCTCGTATGTTGAAACAATATAGATCGATGCATTGGTATGAAATGTTCAGAGATGGATGCATTGCTATGAACTGTTCGGTGGACACGTTTTCAAATAGCACTGAATTGCTCCATCTTGTAGGGTCCATTTTCCAGAGAAGTGTAGGTTGTGCAAGGTTTCTCATAGATTTGTGTTATGATCTTCGAGCACATGCTTCAACTCATTTGCTAAGCCATCCTTGATGGTCATTTATGACGGTTTGGTGTCTTTTGTCTTCTTTAAGAATAGGAGGTTGCTATGCTCTTTCTTTTTCCCTGCCAGTGCAAATTTAGGCCTATGTACTACACATTGGTTAGGCTAAAGTCATGGTACATGTTATTCAAGGTCGATGATTAGTGGGTTCCTACCTTTTTTTCACAACAAATAATTGTATAGCATGTTGAGTGATTGTGTATTGTAAAAAAAAAATGTTGTTTTGTGTTTCCATTTCATCAAGTGTAAAAAAAGGCATTACCATTCTTTTGTGTTAGGTTCCATTTGTTAAACATGTTGACATTAGCATTCTTTATGGTTAGGTTCATGTTTAACAAGTCAGAGAAAACTGTGTCGATTCAACTGAGCACGTTAGGTTACTGAATAAGGTTCGGTGGTAGTTGTACATAAAAAAAAGTTCTTTACAATCTGATTACTTTTTATCTTTTTCTTTTGAAAATGAATTTGTTGCACCACTTCATCATTGTTGGTGTGGGACTAGCGCTGCTCCATTGATGACAAAGTGCCTCCACATATGCTCCCCTACAAAACTAACAGGTAGGCTCTGCCTTCAGTTTTATGAAGATTTGAAATTAACTGCAATCTACGTTCTAAATCTTTACTACCATCCTAACCTCACTCCATCTACAAACTAAATACATAAGGAGATGTGGTATATTTTTGTGAATGCCAAAAATATACCTGGATTAGGACTCTGATGCCAAGCCTTCTTGCTGAGAAATTAAAAAAATAACATTATTTGAAACACCAACAAGGTCAGTGCTTTTTTTGTTTTTTTTTCCTTGTGTGATTTATGGCAGCTATTAGTTACTGCACATGTCCGTGTGCTCTTTCCAATAGTTTCCTGTTTTAAACTTAAAGTCATGCTGTTTTTAATCTCTATCTACACTGATGGACTACATTTTATTTGTTACCAATCCACGACGACCTTCCTCAGGACATATTTACTTGAGCATAGCATTTGCATATGTTTAGGTGCTTACATATCCCCACTTAGTACTTTAGCAGCTTTATAGGCACATGTGGAATGAACTGATGTAGCTATTTGTCTTTGATGCCTGCGACACCAGGTTGTGCTTACGGATCAACTATACCTTGTAGATAGTATTTGAGAATGGACTCAATTAAATTGAAAATGAAAATATGGATATTCGACAGTTGCCATTGCCTATTTGTGCTGTGATTTTTTTTTCTAAGTGATTTCACCTTTTCTGGGCAGATGTCTTCCTGTACATATGGTTTCATTTTACTCATTTGTGTCCTTGTCTGCTGTTGCATACCCTTTTCATCTTTCTTGTATTTCACTTCATTTTAGCTCAGCAAGTAATTGCACGGCCGACCGTTTTCCACACTGAACCCTATGCTCGGCACTGACAAATGCTTGAGTGCTGTGACATTTTCTGGCAACATCTTCACGCCATAGGCGGTGCGAGTTTAGGATCCATACCAAATGTAGGTGCTCCTCAAAACCAGCAAGATCTCAACTGATGAATGTCTTTTCTAAGTTTTGTTGTTGTCAATGCAAATACTCAATTAATTTCTAATAGAACTATTGCCGTGTTTCCCAAAAAAAAAAGTCAGTATACACAGCCTTCTGCCGGTCTTCTGCTGCTATATTGATTGATGCATTCTTCAAATTAAATCTAGATTCCCTACAATTATATAAGCAAAGTAAATATTTGTTGTAAAAACATGCTCAGCACATTACTGAATGAGTTTGGAAAGTGTAGAAGCTTAACATAGTGATGCCAAGCTTGTCGCTTATTGCCGGCACCCTTCTTTCCTTTGAACAAATTATTCTCTTCATAAATATGAATAACAGCTCTTTGGTATATTTACATTGCATTGCATCAGTAGCTTAGTTTCAGCAAATGATTCTACCTTCTTATTTGACCTCTTACTATTTTAGGTTCACTCCATAGTACCTGATATCCTCATGTAACAATTAGCCAGGCTCTCTGCTAAATCGACATTGCCCCTTTTGATACAACAAATGCTACTAAACGGCTCGCTATTTACTACAAGGTAACAATTCCCTACTTTAACTGTAGTTTGTACACCGAGAAACAGTACTAAACATGCTCTATTTCTTCTTTACCTTTCGGAGTATGATGTCAAAAAAAATGTCCACGCCAGAAACGTTCAAATGCCTAGCAGTAAGCACCAAACCATATTTACTGATTTAGCTTCTGTCTCCTCATTGTTCTTCGATTTGCGAATGTATATCCTTCAATCTTTTAAGCAAAACTAATACTTTTCATTCTGCCTGCACAGTCAGTGCTGTTCTCTTCCTCGAGGTGTCATCTTTCACGATCATGATCAGCCTGATGAAACCCATTCCCATAACAAGCTTCGCTTGCTGGCTGGACACCTTTGCCAAACTCTGAAAGTTCTTTCCCCCATGTCAAAATGAGTCTCCGTATCCAGTTGAAACAATCCTGTACTATGCTAATATTATCCTATGAAGGCTCAAAATGACAAACCATCTATAAATAATGTAACTAATGTTACTCAGCTTTTTGTTCCATATACAATAATATGATGTGCTATAATTCCGGCTTCCTTTTGTGTGATGTAATTGTTGCCTTTGGTTTTCAGGTCGTGCTTGCTTATGGCCAGCAAGAGGAAATGAAGAACGGTTATCCAAAGAGGTAATTCGGCCGTGGTTCTATGCAGTTCTAATTTTGTTAAATTTAGTCCATGTTAGCTTAAGTGCCATTCAAATTCCAAATTCCTGGTTAGCGGCCAAATTAGGACCGTAAAATCACATCCTTTTCTGATTGTAGAGGCGATTTTGGGGTCACGTTGCCTAGCTCCCTTACCGTGGTCAACCTTCTGATTGTAAACTGAGATTTGGTTATGATCAGATGATCTTAGCGTCTGCCATTTGTTTTTTTTTTCCTTCTTGAGCCTATGATGAAAATTCCATATGCATTGCTCAATGATATGATCTGATGTTCATTCGCTTGTGAGGTACTCGGCATGGGTGTTACTTATATGATGCAATTTCTGAGGGTAAACCAGTTATCACCATGCCTTGAGGCTCCAAGTTGATGAACAAATGATGATGATTGCTATGTTTCTGAGGCCTCTATTCGGGAAGGCCTCCCTGGGTAGCAAGTTGGTACACGTCGCCCCTAAAACTGCGATTGGTCCATGCCAGCACCGCATCAGCTTCGTCTTATCTGATTGGTCCACCTCAGCAAAACAGCTTCCAATACAAGCAGCCGTCCCTCTCGTCTTGCTATTGTTTCCTTCTTGAGCCTGTGATGAAAATTACATGTGCATTGCTCAATGATATGATCTGATGTTCGCTCGCTTGTGAGGTACTGGGCATGAGTGTTATGTTACTGATATCATGCAGTTTCTGAGGGTAAACCAATTAACACCATGCCTTTTTTTGGCCATCAGTTAACACCATGCCTTGAGGCTCCAAGTTGATGAACAAATGACGATTGCTATGTTTCTGAGGCCTCTAAAAATCATGTCAAGCCAATTGATGGCAATGTACCGTACACATATTTTCATCATGGTTTCAAATAATTAGGCCACATTACAGCAGACCTGGTACTTAAAATATGTGGTGTCAACGTATGGGTGATTTTTATTTGCTCTTCATTTTCATCGTTTGCAAAACTAAATCTCATACTGCTTTATGCTACCTATTAGTTAGTACCTGTTCCATCCTTATATTCTGTGATTCCCATGCCTTTTTACCTAGCTTCATATTTTCCTTCCACAGATGGTAATACTGCAGGTGCCATATACTTGGTTTCGTAAACACTCTCGCTGCACGCTTAGATCTATTCTGCATGGTACATGTTAGTAAAAGACGATGTCGTTAAGGATATCCATGCGTCACGAGAAAATTTGCAGCTGTCAATAACTTTGAAAGTTTTGATAAGTTCCAGGTGTGGTATGATGCTGCGCACAAATGCAGTATCCTCACGCCATTGCTTCGTAGACCTGGTGTTGTGCGTCCTTAAAAGTGGTATTTTCATATGTTACTTTGATTTCAAACATGCCCACAATGAATGGGCCTTCAGATGTGCAGCGCTATGTCCTTATCTACATTTTTTTTTTATTTTGCTTCATTTCCTAATCCTGCTCCCATTTGATTTGCCCACATTTTTTCTGGCTGCGGGTGAATGAACCTGAGCTCTGATCTTTGCCTTTCTGATTTTATCATTGGATCAGGATTTTTTTTCTTGTGCTCATGTTCATGCTGTACTATTTCAGTTCCTCTGCTTCCTAATATTTTTCTTCTTTTCTCTTGGTAAATGCACTTCTCAAATTCCTTTTTTTTGTGCAAGGTACAAACTTAAACGAATCTAGGTTCCTGTGTTCAAATTGACCTGTGCTCAGAAAAACTGGGGCTAAAGGTGTAATGAATTGAGGTTACCAGTTCTTAGTTACAACACAAGTCACCATCTTACCTTATTTTTCTAGAAATTTTGCTTTTGGGTTCAGCAAGTTGGAAAAGCTTAGGATTGATGTTAGTTAACTGAAATTTGTTATGCAGAGAAAGCAGCATGCTTCCTTTTGTTTCTACACCTCACTCATGAAGGCATGTAGGTAATTGTTTTTTCATGTCTATGTATGATTGCAGGAAAGGGCTACAGTTTACATGCTCCTCACAATATTGAAGTCCTTTTATGCTCTCAGCAATTTAACTGTCTCTTATCTACTGCTAATTCCGGGCCAGTTCTATGTGTAGGCGATTGAAGAAGTCTTTTCTCCTTACTTTACCTCCAAGAATATTATCTGAAAGGTACCGAATGTACTCTTTCATTACAATCAGGGGATTTCATAGCATATTCACTCTTTCCATCGTCGAGGACTACAAGTAATGGTCCATATCAATTGACATTAAGAGCTAGAACAGTGTGCATCCAAAAAATAAAATTTGTAAACATGCAGAGGCAAACGGTTTTCATACAACACTGTTTATTTTTCCCACAACATGTTACATTTAGTTCTGCAAGAGTGTTCATATATTTGGCTGAATATATTATCTTACGTACCATTAGTTTGTGATAAAAAGTTATATGCTTCTTGTGATTGCTTTTCATGCGATGCTAGCTAATTTAATTTAGCTAAATCAGTCTTCATCTATTGCAGTGGTGCATGTCCAATGATTAATACTACAATGATTTTTGTCATCTTAACCTGTACTCCTGGAGGTAATGGTCCTTTCATTAACTTGTGATGTTTTGTACATCAGTTCTCGCCTGTCTCCTACTACAATACACCTTTCTCCAATTATAAAAATGATGATAAGCTTCAAATCATGTATTTGTTTACTTTATTAAAACGGAAGAACAGAAGTCTATGGAACTTATCAATTTGAACATGCTCGTGCGCAGTTGGTCCGGTGTTAAGTTTGATTAGTAACAGCTCCTTTTTATTTTTTCTCTGTATATTCAGATTGCTCCTTGGATTAGCATATAGAGCATTGATAAGGTTTCATATGGGTGTCTTTGCTTTTTCAGGCATCAAACTGTACCATTTGTAGATCTTTTTGCAGCACCTGCACAGGTTGTTCCAGTTCCAGCAACCAGTTCCATGCAGGCAGCAAGTTCACTTGGTACTCCACAGAGTACACAGCCTGAACCACAGGCTATGTCCATTGACTCTGGAACTTCATCGGTATGTTATATTGCCTCTCCTTAATTATTCATGCTTCGTTACATAGCTCTACACCTGCATAAACCTATTTTCTCATTTCGTATACAGGCACCTACTCCAGCAGCTGACCCAAATGATACACCTCTAAAGGATCTCATCACCAAGTAAGTCGCATTGGCATATGAAAATTACTCAACAAAAAAAACTTTGTTTACCTTTTAAATTGTTTCCATCAAAAAAAAATTCTTTCCGTATGATTTAGATCACCAACAGCGCGCTCGCAGGAAGCTGTTTGGAGAAGACACTATCGCTCAAAAGGTGGGTTCGTACATATCTACTGCCCTGAACCTCAAAACTTTAGCACAGCAGAAATTAATAGACTATTTTGCTTTCAGTTTACAGGAAACCACAGAGAATCAAAATTTGAATGCAGAAGGAAGGATGTGATCTAGCACCTGTCCTATCGCTGCAGCAAAAAAAAAGTTTGATCGGCATGCCTACACATTTTGCTGCTACCTATTTATTTAGTGCTTTAGTGCTTTTCCCCCTACTACAATGAGTTACGTTCTGTCTGCCCCTCAAAATTTAACTAGCTGAGATCATTAAAATAGATTTTGATTATTTGGAAATGTTGTGCACAGCCATGTGGTGGATTTAATATATATATATATATATATATATATATATATATAGAACCTCATAGGCTAAGGCATACATTATTCTTATTTTGAAAATGGTTAGCTCAACAATTTCAGAACTTATCTATTCTTTTTGATATGAATGCTCATATTTTGCAAAGATGGAATATTATTGTTCTTTGAATGGTGTACGCCATTCAGACAAGAATATTTTTGTGGCAGCAACAATTTTGATTTAGGTGCCTTGTTTCGGCTGCCCAGGTGATGTCAAAAATATTTCATTAATTCTAATGGCCAAAAAATTAAGAATAACTGCCTACAAACTGAATCCTGCTCATGCATCCACATATTGGATTTTGCTGTCATGATTACCTCAGAAGAAAAGATGATGTCCTTATTTTCACACAATGTTTTAGGCTTCTAAAAGAGGTCATATCTGTGGATTGATTTATATCTTTCCCCATTATCCTTTTATGTTTTACCATTATCTGTGAATTGAAGGGATTTCTGGTGTCATTGGTTACAGCAGCATTGAGGGTGAGGCATGGCAATGGAGGCCCTTTAGCTCCCACAAGCATGCACGGTCTGGGAAAACAAACAACCAGGTAAAGAACTCCCAGGCAGGAGGGCCAGAGTTTCCATGTTGTGTACCTTCTTATTCAACTCTTAACTAAATTAGTTAACGGCCTCTAAACTTGATAGGAGTACATTATGCCATGTCTTTTCCATTTTCAGCAGATTCATGTTGAAGCTTACGACCCCATTCCCTTATTTGTAGTTACTTTGCAGCGACATAGAAATTGTGTTCCTGCTGGCCTACAGCGTACTGATTTTTCCCCTTCAATACTGTATTTTCTATTGCTTGAATTGCAGTCTATTTGTTTGTTCAAATACAGTAACTCGACCAGCTCTATCCATTACTTAGGATGGTTATAGCTAGCAGGTTGATACATTACTGTGTCTATAGATTGAAGCCTGCTCATGCATCCACGAATTACATTTTGCTGTCATAATTATCTCAAAAGAAAAGATGTCCATATATTTAGACAATATTTTAGGCTTCTAAAAGAGGTAATCCATTTTGTTTCTTCATGTAATCCCATTGTAACACATGGTGATATGGTAGTTCCTGCGATTAAGTTGTTCAAACCCTTTTGAAAACATTTTTTTTCTGATAATCTGCTATTTCTCCTTTTTAATCGCTTTTAGCTGACCCTCCTCCATATAAAATATGTTGTTGGATATCACACCCCAGAATTGCAAATTTTGGGTTGTCCATAAAAAAAACTAAAAACATAATTTGTTTTAATAGTTTCATAAAACTTTTCAAGCTTAGTTTAGTTTAGCACAAATTAGTTGTAAAAAAATTGTGGACTTTCAAACTTTTCCGAACTAATATGACGGGCTTGTGCTTTCTTCTATCCCTGCCACGCTTTCTTCGTCCACGCGCGCAAAGGCGCGCGCTTTCTACTAGTACAAACAGTACGGGGGTAGCTTAGAGCTAGCCCGAAGCATGCATGTGCGCTAGTCGTACAACAGCATATATGTCACAGTAAGCGCGCGCGCGTATATATATATATATATATATATATATATATATATATATATATATATATATATATATATATATATATATATATATATATATATATAACTACTGCCCTGTAGCTGACTAAAACTAACTTATAATTACTATATTAATTTATGAGATTATAGTAACTCCATACTAAGTGGTTTAGTATAATGTTATGGTAAATATCTCTATGTGTTAAGTGATATTATCGTAAATTAGTATATAAAATTATCGTAAATAAAGGTGGTTACAGAATAACTTATTTTATAACTGGCTACTGAATATACACTTCATTCAATACTTCATCTCTCCTGTAAGACCGCACGTACGTCGTCGGCCATATGTAATGCAGGCGAGGCCAGCAAGAACGCTCAGGTGGAGGTGGAGCGCCAGCAGGAAAACAAATACTCCCTCCGGTTTTGATATTAAAGTCGTTCCGAAGGATTTTGCGATTTCAAAATACTGGTCGTTCATCTGGTATTTGGTCCATTGTGGACTCTTCTACCCTCGCGCATGCTCGTTCCCGAGGCCGGAACTCGCTAGCTCCCGAGGCAATTAAACCACAGCCCTCCGTCTTCCCCGCGCGCTCCCATCTTCAGTCGTAGCCTGTGGTTCAGCAGGCAACTGAGGCGACGGAATGGAAAGAAAAAAGAGCGCCATGCACAGCGCAAACGAAAAAAAGAGCACGCCATGCAAAAAAAAAAGAGCGCCATGTAACCAGCACCAAGGATTAAAAAAAAGAGCGCCAGGCCATGCAACCAGCACCATGGAACGAAAAAAAAGAGCGCCAGGCACATTACCAGCGCGCGTCCACAGCGGCACAGTGCCATGCAAAATCGCCAAAAGTTGGAAAAAATGAGCAGCTCAAGGATGGAACCTGTGACCTCAGGAGACTATCACACATGCGCAAGCCACTCGAATGGAGAGATGTTGCTGTACTTAAACGATTCCGAGGTATATTTAATAAGAACAAACATAGAAGAATAGATCCAAATTAATTATACATTGGTATGCTAAACCTTGTCCAAAACGACCTTAATATCAAAACCGGAGGGAGTACGCGACTACACATACAACGACACGCGTCACACCTCAGCGCGAGCGAGCGAGCGCACATGCAGCTCGTCGTCTGTCCGACTCACGCGATGTGGCTCATCGGCGACTGCATCACGGGCTCGACGGTGGAGCTGCCCATCCCCATCTCCTCGTCCAGCGTATCCTCCTCCGTGGCCACCGGCGGCCTCGCCTTGGGGTCGAACCTCTTGCTCTTGGGGTTGGTCGCCGGGTCGTACCTCTTGATCACCAGCACGGACGCCGACGTCCTGAAGTCCGGGGACACCAGGTAGCTCCCCACGGGGCCCAGCTCGTCGGGCTTCTCCACCAGCGGCGCCGCCGGCGGCATCCGCCCCACCACGAACACGTTGAATCCCGACAGCGACTCGATCGTCTCCACCACCTGCTCCCTCGTGTACGCCTCGGGCTCCTCGAACCGCACCGACCCGTCCTTCACCGCGCCCACCTTGGCCTTGAACGCCTCCACCGCCGCCTCGTCGGCCGCGCTCTCGGCCTCGTCCAGCAGCTGCGGCCGGCTCGGCTGGAACCTCGCCAGCGTGACGGCGACGCCCGGGTGCTCGGCCATGCGCGTCGCGTAGGCCAGCGCCTCGCGGTCGTCGGGCCCGCCGAAGAAGAGTGCGGCGACCGAGAAGGACACGTTCTTGGCCGACACCTGGGCGTGCCCGCCGAGGCCGCGGTCCACGAGGATGGCGACCGAGCAGGGCGCCTCGCGGAGCAGGCGCTTGTTGATGGCGTGGTACGCCGAGCCCAGCGACATGAAGGTGCCGTCGTGGTGGAGAGCCTTGTGGTACGGCATCACGATGATGGCCGCGCGCTTGTCGGCGGCGCTGTCGATCACGTCCCAGTGGATGGTGTCCAGGTCCGAGATGGCCGTCATGGCGCGCACCCGCACGGAGCTCAGCTGCTGGAACGCCTCGAACGCCACCACCACCTGCTCCGTCCGCTGCTCCTTGCCGTTGAAGAAGGGCATCCCGTCGCGGCGCGCGCGCTGCACCAGGCTGATGGCCGACGACCGCTCCGATAGCTCCACCAGGTGCATGGCGTACATGGTGAGGCGGCGGCGCGCGGTGCCCCGGGTGGCCTCCACCAGGTTGAGCAGCGTGGGGATGTGCCGGTTGGTGTGGAAGCAGGCCAGCACGCGGAGCTCGCTGTCCGCGTCGCCGGGGGCGCACTCCACCGTGCGGCGCTTGTACGGCACCGTCCGCCTCGCCGGCTTGTAGATGGCCATCACGATGGGCGTCGTGATGAAGGTGGTGAACAGCGCCATCAGCACCATGATGGCGAATGCCTCGTCGTTCAGCACCTTGCGGTCCCGGCCGATGTTGAGGACGATGAGCTCCACGAGCCCCTTGGTGTTCATGAGGAACCCGAGCGTGACGGCTTCACGGACGGGGATCTTGACGAGCAGGGACGTGATCACCGTGCCGCCGATCTTGCCGAGGCACGCGTTGACGATGACAAGCACGAGTAGGGCCCAGGACTTGGCCCCCTTGATGGTCGCCACGTCGGTCTTGAGCCCGCTGGAGACGAAGTAGAGCGGGAGGAAGAGCCCTGAGATGAGATCCTCCACCTTCTCGATGAGGACGCCGGCGAAAGGCCCGTCCTTTGGGACGACGATCCCCACCATGAAGGCACCAAACAGGGCATGGATGCCAATGGTGTCGGTGACAAAACCAGCGCCAAGGACGATGGCAAGGGTGGCACAGATGTAGACCTCCTTGACGGGCTCGCCCTCGGGGGAGCGGCGCGCTATCCAGGCAAGCACCGGGCGAAGGAACAGGGAGATGGCAATGACGAAGCCGGCGGCGGTGAGCAGCACCCACAGCGAGACGATCGGTGAGCCGGAGCCGGAGAGGGTGATGGCAAGCGCCAACAGGATCCAGGCGGCGACGTCGTTGACCGCCGCGGCGGACATGGCCATCCGACCGAGATCCGCGGTCAGAAGCTTCAGCTCGGCGAGGATGCGGGCCAGGACCGGGAAGGCGGTGATGGAGAGCGCCACGCCCATGAAGACGAGGAACGGCCCCTGGGGCGTGCCTTTGACAATGGTGGCACGGAACGCGAACGACGTGCCGATGCCGAGCGCGAACGGGGCGCTGATGCCCGCAAGCGCAATGGCGAGGGCCTTCTTGCTGGTACGGCGGATGGCGGCGATGTCGAGCTCGAGGCCGACGAGGAACAGGAAGAAGAGCAGGCCGATGTTGGCCAGCGTGTCCAGCACCGTCATGCTCTTAGCTGGGAACACGGCGTTCAAGAACTTGTGGCTCCGACCCAGCGCCGATGGGCCTAGAAGAATTCCTCCCTGCATCATCATATCCAGACAAGTCATAAGAACATCGTTCATTCATGATAAACATATGCATGCATGCAGATCAATTCGTGAAAAAACACTGTTTGTGGTATAGCTAGAACGGAAACGATTATTTTGTTGCTGCAATGTACCGTGATTAAAAATAATCACGAGTCCAGAACATGTGCATAGGAATATATAAGAAACTATTTTAGCTGTAAAATTTGCAAGTACTCCCTCTGCCCCAAAATGAATTCAATTATCACTTATCAAAGAATCAAATAATTTCAAGTTTAACTAATTCTATACAAAAAATACTAATATAATACCAAATAAGCATTACTAGATTAACCATGGAATATATTTTCGTAGTAAACCTATTAGGAGGCATATAAATAAATGTTGAATATTATTTTCTATGAACTTAGTTAAGTTTTAAATAATTGACTTGTTCCAGACATAGAACTGTATTCTTTTTAGGATGAAGAGACTCCAGTGAAGGATTTAGTCATATAATAAGTATGGCCCTTAATTCTTCGTAGTGACGCTAAAGAACCTGAAGAGCCGGTTTGCATCAGAAAAACTAGAAGAGTTGCGGATGGTAAAGTATGTGATTTCCTAAGGCATCACTTGATGAATGCATGATGCCAGTTGATAATGATAGAAAGAAGCCGGTTTGCATCAGAAACTAAAGAGTCGCTGATGGCACAAACTAGAAGAGTTGCTGATGGTAAAGTATGTGATTTCCTAAGGCACGACTGATGATGGATGCATGATGGCAGTTGATAATGATAGAAAGAAGTATGCAAGAATAAAAGAAGTACTGGCTGCTATTTGAGAAGCAAGCAAGCATGAATGGAATTATACTATATACGTGTGCTAATAGCCGTTGTTGCTTCCCTCGCTACAATTGAAAAATTGTTTAATTAGTGCTTGTTGCAACTGTTATCTGTGTGTTCTTT